AAATAGAATTTTGGACTGTCAGGTTCGCTAGGACCTTCGCCTAGCGAACAACCGCTCGCTGCTGTGTTCGCCTAGCGAGCATGTCCTGGACAGAAGAATTTTGTTTTGGTATTTTTGTCGTAACGGGAGAACTGTAACTCGGAATGACGCACGGTTCGAAGCGTTGGAAAGCTAGTCCAATGCTTTATGTGATGATAAATTAGTGGCATGGAATTAAGTTAATTATTGATGGAACATGTTTGGATTTTGTGGTAAGTGCGGAAGGTGCGGTTCGTGTTTCCACCATAACTCGCAAATTGAGTGTCCGTTTGGCATGAGATTTTCCATACTTAATTGAGCGAGTCAGTGGTTATGTTAACCAATGATATTTTGGTATATTTGAAGAGTATAGAGGATTATGTTGAACATCGGGAACTTGAGTTATCAGTGTTGGAGAAGAAGCAAGGATATGCCACTGTGAAGAAAGTTCAAAGAGTTTTTGGGAGAGCTGTCAACAGCTTGTGTGTTGATTTTTGCCAAATCCGACAGAAATATTCGTTGTGTTTTGTGATGCTTTGTTGATGTGATTGGGAGATATGTTAAGTGCAACATCAACGAGTTTTAGTTATGTTTTAAGGTAATTTAAAGTGCATAAGAGGGATTATCTGACGAGTTATTTAGAGTTGGTTGTTGTTGTGTTTGTGCCGGAGTTGGAGGCTTCAATTGGTTAGTTTGAGATTTGAAATGTTTGGTGATCTCAAGAGCTTAAGGTATTTGCTTGATTTGGAAGAGTTGAATATGAGGCAGAGAAAATAATTGGGACTCCTGAAGGATTATGGTTTTGGATTGAATTACCATTCGGGTGAAGCAAACGGGTAGCTTATGCATTGATTTGGAAATATTTGCATATACCGATGAGGATGATGAAAAGAGTTAGAACTGATTGAGCAGTTTCGTGATATTAGTTAGGTGTGTGAAGAGACTCCTTATGGAGTTAAACTTAATATGTTAGACCTTACTAGTGGTATTCTTGATGAGATTCGATAAGGTCAGAACTCTGGTTTGAGTTGGTAGACTGGTTGAATTTGATGAATTAAAGTCGAAGGGCTGATTTTCGGATTAATGAAAATGGTATCATGAGATGTCGTGATAGAGTTTGTGTCCCAGATATTATTGAGTTAGAATAAGAGTATTATTGAAGAAGGACATTGAGGTAGATGGAGCATCCATCCCGGTGCTATGAAGATGTAACCGGATTTGAGGAAATTATTTTGATGGTCATAGATGAAGAGAGAAGTGGTTGAGTTTGTATATGCTGGTAAGACTTGTCGGAAGTCGAAGAATAAACGTCAGAGACCGTTGGGCCTGATGCAAGTTGGATATTCCAGGGTGGAAATCGGGTAGTATTTCCATGGACTTTGTGTTGGATTTTCCGAAGAATTGGAGGGATATGATTTTAATTGAGTGATTTTGGATAGATTGACTAGATTGACTCTTTTCTTACCAATGAGGGTTAATCATTCTATGTTGAAGCTAGCTGAGATGTATATCGATGAATTTGTGAAGTTGTATGAGACGTCGTCGAATATTGTGCCAGATGGGAATCTGAGTTTTCATCGAGATTTTGGGAGAGTTTGCAGACGCTTTGAGTACCATGTTGAAGTTGAACTTTGCCTATCATCCATGGACGGATGGACGGACAGAGAGAATTATCCAGTCTTTAGAGGATTTATGGAGAGCTTGTGTGTTGGATCAAGGTGGATTGTGGGATAGTTAATTATCGTTGATTGAGTTACCTACAATAACAGTTAGCGTTCTAGTATCGAAATGAGACCGTATGAGGATTTGTATGGTAGAAGGTGTAGGACTCATTTGTGTTGATATGATTCAGGAGAGAGTGTTGTGCTCGGAACTGAGAATTGTGTAAGAGACGACTGAAAAGATCAAGAAGATCCAAGAAAGGATGTGTTTTGAGAGTTACGATGGTGACTGGTGTTGGTCGAGCTTTGAAGTCCCGGAAGCACACACACTGTGTTTTGTTGATTTGTATCGGAAGTGACACAGCGGAAGCATGGGAGAAGTGGCATGTTAGACTGTTTTACCGCTGCCGCTTGTGAATTTACATGATGTGGCATGTGCCTAAGTTGAAGAAGTACATTGATTCGGATGGATGGTGTACAAGTGAGAGGTAATTTGACTGTCGAGGCGTTGCTAGTTCAGGTGGATGAACAAGAAGCAACTTCGAGGTAAAGAGATGCCTTTGGTGAAGGTAGTTGGGAGGACCAGCTGGAGCGAGCTGGAATTGGGAACTTGGAGATTAGTTGAGGGAGTCGTATCCGACTCTGTTCCTTGAGGTAATTTTCGAGGGCGAAAATTCTTTTAAGTGGGGGAGAGTTGTAACTCCCCAAGTTTAACCGGAATATTTTAATTAATTTATTTAATTGAGAATTTTTGTATTTTTGGTGTTTTCGGTGGTTTTGGGAATTATTGAGAAGATGTGCATGTTGGACTATTTATTTAATTAATAATATGCTATATGAGAATATTAGTATTATTATTATTAAAACGAATATAAGAGAAATAAGGGTAAATTGGACATTATGAAGAGTTAGTAAGGGTATTATGGGAAAAGGCCAATTTGTGAGGCCCAAGACTAAGTTAGACAAAATTGAGTTCCGAAAGGAAATTAGATTTCATTTTGTGTTTAACGTGAAAGTTGGTGGCCAGAGCTCTGAAGAAAAGGCTGGAAGCAGAAGATCTCATAGATTAATCGTGAAACGACTAAGGTATAAGGAGTATCGCATTTCATGATTTTTTATGTATGCCTTTCGGTGTGTTTATGGTGGGGTTTATGATTTAGGATATGTTGGGTTGATTTGGGAGAATTAGGGAAATTGATGAATAGACTTTGAGGTTATGATTGATGGTATGTATCCCTGAATATTGACATGAATTTAGGAAACCTTATCGGACTGTTTGATGTGTAACATGATAAAGGAGATCTAAGGCCTTCGTGGCAAAACCTTGGATTGTGATATGTTTGACCCTGTAGGAATAGGAATATTCAAATGTGAAGTAACTCTGTTGTACTCAGAGCAATTGCAGGAAAATAGTGTTTTAGGCAGTGCAAATGTTGGCAGATTAGCCTAATAAATTATAGATGTTGTGTCGTTATCGTCGTATGACCTTAGAGATGTTTTGGGGATGTTTTAGGAGCATTGGGTATATGAATCGTATGAGTATTTTGAGTAGAGAGCAGGTCTGATCGTAGCAGGTTTTTGCTGTCATCGCAGCATTCGCTAGAGACTCGCCTAGCGAGCAGTCAGCGAGCACTCGCTAGAGACTCGCCTAGCGAGCATTCAGCGAGCATTCGTTAGGGATTCGCCTAGCGAGCAGTCAACGGACGTAGCAGAGTTCGCGAAATGTGATCCTTGTGCAGCGATGCCGTGATGTTTGATTCTGGGATTCTTGTGATGAGTTACTATGAGTATGACAGTGAGGTTGCGTGAGTAATAAGTGATAGTATTGAGAATTACCGCGAGTGTAATTGTGATGAATTAATATCAGGCAATGTGAGATGATATTAGGGATTAATATGTGAATACTATGTGATGATATGACGAATGAACATGAGTAGAACCGTGAAGTTTGTGTGAGGATTACAGTGAGTATAACTTGATAAATTAATATGAGATGATATGAGGGTAGTACTATGAATTCATATGGGGTAATATGGGATAATATGACTATGAGCTAATATGTGATTTATACGTGATTATATGATGACATGATGTGTGAGATTAATTAATATGATGGACTATGAGGATATGTTATATGATGAATAATATGATGAATTATGATGGTATGCTGTATGATGATTAATGTTATAAAATATGATAATATGTTGTATAATGATGATTATTGTGATGAGATATGATAACATGATGTATGATGATGATTGTTACGATGAGCTACGATGACATGATTTATGATGATGAGTATGACGATGAGATATGACGTGTAATGATGATGAATATGATGAATGATGATGCACCATATGCTGTTATTATGAGGATTATTGTGAAGTGTGCATCATGCACTCATGTGCATCCGGATTTCGGTTCAGGACCTCGATTACTTTGGCTTCAATTCCACTGTGTGGATGTGAAGTATTTTGATGTGCTCTGGTCCTATTGATGGGGATCTATGGGGGGTTGATGGCCCAGTGTCCATCGTGCTGTGATGATTGGTACCACATGCATTGAGTCTATGTTGCATTTGCATTTATGAGCCTTTGTGTATAAATTATGACGTTGTGGCCTTTGAGTCATATTGGAATGATATCAATGTGTTGAATATAACTATGAGTAATATGTCGTTTATGCATTAATTGTTATACATTGATTATTATGAATTGTCTTACTCACCCTGCCTGTTTGAATGTTACCTCCACGTGGGTAACGTGCAGATGAACAAGTTTAGCCGTGGACGCCGTCGAGGAGTATTGTGAAGTTTTAGAGTCGTTAGCCTTTATGGTTAATTTAGAGAGTCTTGCTCTGATATGTAACATTGGGTTGGGTTCTTAGAGTTGATTGTATATCATTGGGTTATTTTACTGATGTTCCCTTATGAGGAAAACATTGAGTTATGTTTTGGGTTCCGCTGTATATGATGTTTTGATGGATTTTGAGAAAACGCGTGTGTTTTGATGTATTGTGTTACGGAGTATCGACCAACTTTGTTGATTTTGAGAAATGTACGCCCTTTTTGACTTTTTATGAAAGTAAATATTTTACTCTGAAATTCGTGATATTTTTGCTGTAATATCTGTGGGGTAGAACAAGGGTGTTATACTTAACATTCTCTGGAACTTATGGTTCATTATTGTGGCTGCTACTGTGTTGATTTTGAGTTGGAATGAATCTCCCACTACGCCTCTTAGGTTGTTGATTTTAGGATATGTGCTACAGTGTGTTCTTCATACTGTGTCTGTTTGTTTTGAGTATCATAGAAGGGTGAGGATGCGGGAACAGACGAACACGAGCACTGGTAACGCGTTTGGGAGTGGTGGCAGTGGGGATTTGAGCTTTGGTTCAATGGATGGTTCTGGACAGTTTGTGAATGTGGCGCAGTATGGGGATGATGGTTCTACAAGGTGAGTTCAATTTCTGAAACCTGAATAATCCTTTTGTTTCAATTTTTAATGATTATGAATTAAAATGATACTAATGATTCTTTTCCAACAGAGAGAATTTGCAATCAGTCCCTGAAATTGTAGCTCAAAACTCTTGATACTAGAGTAGAATAAGTTGATGCCTGACATGAGTTGAGATTGTGGCTGAACATTTTTCTGCACTGCATGCTTTTTACTATGTGTTAAAATTTAAAACTCCATTGGTTTAGGTTGAATATATCTTAGGGATGTGCATGTGAAATTGATGAGTGGACACATTAAGTGAGAAATAGCTATGCTAATTGAAAACTCTAGGAAATCTTCATTCCATATTTCAAATAACCCAGATGGCAATTTTAGCTTCTTAACAGTTAAGGGGAAAGAAGATATTTCAGTTCAATTCAAAATATATAAGATCATTTCAAATAAGAAGTATGTATGAAATTGATATGGTAACTTAACTTTGATTATAAAAAAGATGAGGGAGGCTGTCGGGTGATAGTTATATGAATTATCATATAATAGAGCTGTTTTTATTTAACCTCTCAAAACATAGAGTAACCATGGAGGTTTATGTACACCTTTAGATTTGTCCTACTTTTGATTTCTGAATCACAACTTGTGTGACGAATTGTTGTTAAATAGAGGCACTACTATAGCATAATGCAATTTGATCAAACTGCTATTTTCTGCTATCTGCGGTTGATAGCACCAGTGTGATAACCAAGTGTCAATCAGTTTTAAACCTTATTTTTCTTTATGTAAAATGTAAACTAAATGATATGTGACAATATTTATTTCCCTGATTTTGTTTTCGGAAAAATCATATAATGCACTTGTTTACCGTTCATATCTTATTCCATTTTCTTAATAGTTTTTTTGTGTAATGAACTAACCTCCCAACTTTGATTGGTGAGATACTTTCTAAAGTTGCCCAAGAACATAGTTGTGGCCCGAAGGTTTACACAATACTACAATGTGCCCAATATTATTGTAAAATTAGCACAATCAATTTTTGATTTAAAAGGGCCTTTTTTTAGATTATGTAATTTTTTATGTTTGACTTATCTCCTTTTGTTTCTCCTGGTAGTTTGCCAAAGCATTTGGAATCAGCCAACACAATGTTTTCTTTTATTTGGTGGGTCATTGGATTCTATTGGGTATCAGCAGATGGTCAAGATTTGATCAACGAGTCTCCTATGCTTTATTGGTTTGATCCCTTTCTCTGCTCTTATTTATCGTGGGAATTGAGAACTTTCAATAATAATTGCGGGGTTGATTTCAGTGATTCAGATTAACCTTCAGAGTTAAAAGACACACAACTCCTTTTCCTTATTCGTTTGCCGCCAACTGTTTACCTCTAGCCCTTTCTCCTTGTCATGTCGTCGATCTTGTTGGGTTTTTTAGTCCTCTTGACATCGTATGAAACTGTGCTGAGATAGCCGGTGTTGAAGATGGGAAGGCTGGTGGTGGAAAAGAGAGGGTTTTGGGGAATTTTAGGTACTGGTTTTAGAAATCACTGTGGTATAGAATTAAAATTGAGGCGTGAATTTTCAATGTGGATGTTCTTAACCACAAAATAGTTGCAGATATTTTCGGTTTCTTCTTGGCTTGTGTTATTTGATCTAAATAAATTTTCATGTGGTTAAAACCTGATCTCAGTAATATATCAAGTTGGTTAAAACCTTATATATGTAAAATATTTTTGATGTTCTTACTTTCCGTTGTTAACTTTCACTGAATGAAGGCTTTGACGCTGCTGTTGGAAGGAGAAGGGGCTGAAATGTGATGTGACGGTAGGGGAGAAGAGGAGAAGGTCACATGCCTGTAAATTTTGAGGGATTAATCTGAATCATTAAATTTAATTTGATGGTATTTATTGTCGGTGTTCTCACAGCAAGAGTTCTCATCTCGTACAATATATATATATATATATATATATATATATATATATATATATATATATATATATATATGATTTACTTTCTCTTTGGGAAATCTGCTTTTTATAGTAGTTTACTATTTTTGACAAAATACACTTGCTTTACAGGTTATGTATTGTCTTCTTGGGGTTTGATGTTTTTTTTTGTCGTTTTCTGTATTGCGCTGGCATGCATCATTGGTCTTGCTGTTTGCTGCTGCCTTCCGTGTATTATTGAGGGATTTTGAAGTTTATAGAAACCATATTATACCTGAAATTTGTTTTTTCTAGCAACTGTTTGCAACTTTTCCTTCAATAAATATATATGTGAACTAGTGAGCACCCCACTAGGAATGATATCTTTGTCATTCTACCCCAATGTGTATGACTTTATACCCCACTAAGAACGACATCTCAATCATTCTACCCCAGTGAGTACGAGTCTTATCTAAGCCTTATGCAACGCAAACCATGATAACTGACTCATGACAAATATATGCATGCACACGTAATTCAACACAATGAATTACTTACCACATACATTGATATTCATTTATACAATGTTTTCACGCCACAAAGGTCATCATCAATAATCACATTTTCATAACCGTAACATTCTTACTTCAGATATTACCACCATACTTAGTAAATAATACACAAAGTATCAACACAATTCAACTCAATTCACACAACACACATTACCGATTAATCATAAAATAATTAATTCATCATCAATAATTAAATTCACTATTCAAATGGTATACAACACATTTTACAATACAATCACAATTGTATTATCATTACAACAAGCAATAACTATCATGCATTTCATGTTGTCACACACCAAAAATACTTATACAAGCACACACACACACACACACAAAAGTATTCGATAAAATTATCCACAATAATTTTGTTAGACGATGACTTGGATCTAGAAGGAGGGTTGAATAGATCCCAATTAAAATCAGTCGGCGCTACCAATTAAAAATTGGTTTTTCAAAATATTTGTTTTTAAATTTGCGGAAGCAGCCGTGGAAAAATTACGTCTAAGAACGAACTGTTATTAGAAGACCGGATATGCGTCTAGCCTTATGGATATGATAATGAGCAAAGTTTGATTCAACACACTAGTCACACTATCAGTTAATTTTATCACTTATTAGTAGAGCTAGCACCAATGATATACAATGCCCACAAAGTAGACAAATGGACTAAGTAAACTTTGGTGTAGGCAATATATCAAACACTTGGTGTGCAATACACTCGAAGTGTGGTTTGGCTTGGGTAAGATACTTTAATTTCCTTGTGCAATGTATTGTTGCACTAAAGTTCAAAACACTAAAAGGTACTTACTCAATTCAACCCAACTTATGATATAATTGCTTATACTAAAATCACTTAAATTTTAAGACAAAATTGAAAGTGCTGAAAAGTAAAGGAGACAAAGATTTGTTGAGGCAGTTCCCCCGCCGTCCTCGCTTCGGGGTACGTTTGTCTGCCCTCAATTCTAATAATAGAATTGAGATCAATATATTAGATATCACCTGTAATGTAGAAATGTTTATACAAGAATTGATAAGCAATATGTACAATCAAGCCCTCTTGAAGTTGATGATGCTATCGCTTCTTGCTCCTTGATTCGAGTCGAATCAAGTTCTCTGATTGTTGTGAGTAGACCTCCGATTCCAGCCCCTTTGTTGAATAACCTTCAGTTCTTCAAACCCTCGGCCTGGCTGATCTTACGCACGAACAAATCGAACCAGGAACACTCTTGAACGCTTCACTGATTTCCGCTACTAGATTGATGAAGATTACCACTTCTCAATCACCTTCACTCAACTGAAGTTGGTAGAGATGATCCGTACCGAAAAACCCCCCAAAATCTCCAAATCTTGGAGGGTAAAACCTGCTAGGTTTTATCCAAGAAAAACCTGCCTTCAAAATCACCCCGAACCAGATTTCTGATTACAGCTTCGGACCTTATCACCTTGAACAAGATCACAATCACCCCAAGAATTATTGTGTGTAATTGTTGTGATGTGGGTTGTAAAAGATGAAGATTGATGAACTTCGATGGCACCTCTTTCACTTTTCTTGATTTGTGACAATTGACTCAAATTCACAATAGTTGTTGATAAAACTGAACAAAGTTACTATATATAGTAACCAACCAAACACCAAACTTAACAGCTTTTCAAACATAGTGGGAAGTCTCCAAAAAACAGCACAAACGCGCGAAGCGTCGACCATAGCAGGTCTATGCGTCGACGCATAGACTGCAGATTTGAAGAGACACCAGTGTGCGTCGACCATAGGTCGGCGTGCGCTGACCCGTGAGTAAAGTAATAGCTTCATGCGTCGACTCATGGTCTTCATGCGTCGACTCATACCTTCCTACGCTGAACCGTGAGAAAAGCGCAGATGCATGCGCTGACTCAATGGTCGACTCTTGGCCTGAAAATATGCAGAAAATTGTTATTTATTTGGTTTTTATGCATTTAGTCATAACCACATATCATACGTATATATTGTATAAAGTAAAGCACTTTAAATGATATAGGAAGGATATGGTGGATGGAATATTTGCATTTGTCTTTGTAGAGGCGGAACTGATAATGTTGATTCATCCATGATTGTAATTTGTCATCATCGAAACTCAAGATCGTATGTTGTATGACGGTTTGCCCTCACATAGTCCCCCTTTTTGATGATGACAACCTATGTGAAACCAATAAGACTCAAATGCAATATTACACCTAAGGTAGCATAAGCTCCCCCTTTCTTTTTCAATCCTGTACTGGTGTGGTCTTCTTGGCTTTGATCTCTTCTCCCTCTTTGACAACATCAAAAAGAGAAAGAGAACGATTAAGAGTAAAGTGTTCAAATCAACAAGATTATTAACAGACAATATCTCATCATAAACCAATATTCACATATAATATTGACAATGAAAAGCAGTAATGTAATGAATACTCAAAGGATAAATCACGGAAAGAAAATACATTTAGAAAGCCCAAATAGTTCATGACAATCCAAACAAGTTAAAGACGAAACATCATAACAACAACAACAAAATAACATAAAGTGAACATAGAAATCTAATGCCCACGGCCACGCCCTCGTCCCTTGTTATGGTAATATGGATGACGGTAAGGATCTGCCAAGTCAGTGAATTCCACCGTGATGTTGTTCAGGTAATTCAAACTGTTGGTAATGTTCCTTTACGAAGCTTCATGGGACGTAACAAGAGCTTCAAACCGGGCGTCCATTCTGGTGGAAAAGTTGTTGAGACGTTCATTTTGTGTTTGTAGTTGGTTTTAAATTTGAGCGAATCGCTCATCTTGAGTGCGCATAAAGTTCTGTTGTTCGAGTTGCATGGTTTGCATCAGGTATAGAATGTCAGACGTGTTGGATTGCGGAGGAGATGGAGGCGCTTCAGTGGGTGCTTCAGTATATCCATGGTACAAATCATAGTATTTCCCTAGAGTGGTCCAGCCAGTGTGCTGCCACTCCCCCCAGCCTTGATTGTTGTAGTCTTCGTCGTCCTCAGGTTGAGCTGTGTATGGAACCCAATCACTATTTGTGTGCCCAGGTGACTCAGTTGGATGATAATTGTCACATGTCTCATGTGCGGGTTGTTCTTCTTCTTCGTCTTCTTATGCCTCTTCATATGCTTCTTGTTCCTCTTCAGCATTGTCTTCCCTTTCCTCACTTTCTTCGGACGCTTCAACCACTCTAGGTGTAGTTGCTCTACGAACAAAACCATATATTCTTTGTTCTTGGCACCAATAGTATCCTATCATTGAAAGGGTCTTAGTGCCAAATTCCTTATCGGAGGAGATTGATGTGTATGGAAATGTTGGATAGACAACATTTGCATCGGTGAGAACTTCCTGAATGAATGACCCATATGTGAGAGCAGTTCCTCTAGCGGAGTCCCGTAATGCGAACATTTGACTGGCGATATAGTGAGGCCAGTTAATTCTGATTTGATTTTTCAGAATGTAAATGAGATGAACCTCAGCCTGTTCAACTCTGGAAAGCCCACCTTTCTTTGGCCGCAGAATGCGTGCCACAATCCACTGAAGAATGCGTTCACCTGTTCGTAATTGCCCTGTAGTGACGGTTCTAGGGAACGCATCACTATTCATAATGTTTGCTGGATACGGTCTTTTTAACATGGAATTTAAAGCTGATTTGAATTCATAACCAGCCACGGTTTGAGAATCTGTTACCTCAGGAAGAGGATTTTCACTAGCCGCTACTTGCAGATTGAAATATTTACTCCACACAGGGGAGTTTAGATTTACCTTGGTGTTGCCTACCTGAGAATGAAAGAACTGACTGCCAAACCTGCCATGGATGTCGGTGTAGAATACTCGAACCAAGTCTTCACTATATTTAGAGTTGCATTCCAAGAAGTTAGTAATGCCTTGAAACTGTAGCAAGGATAAAACTTCGGTGAGATGAATGTGTTCTGCAGTGAGCGTGTAGAATGCATGCAGCTTAACTACCCCCCATTTTCCGATGTCTGTGTTGAATTTCTCAGCAATAGTTGGAGGAACTAGGGATGCAGTAGTGACCGGTATGGAAGCTGATGATAAAGGTGCTCGTGATCGCTTGCCGGTGATTCTGCAGGAAGAGGAAGCCATTGATGGTGGTTGGAGAGGATTTGGATTTGCAGAGAGAAGGAGTGTGATTGTAGAGAAGGTTATGAGTGTGATTGTAGAGAAGGATGATTGCTCCTTTTATAGATGAAACTCTTAGGGTTTTGTTTTTGAGAAGAGGGAAGGTCAAGAGACAATAGGCATGGTAGGTTCAAGTCACTAAGAAATAGAGTAAATATGCAGAGCATGCTGATAAAGATCATTTAATGCGCATGAAGTTGAAATGATTTGCAGAAAATTTGGGTTTTCACGCGATGCATCGACCATACATATACATGCGTCGACGCATACTTGTTAAATTTTGGCAGATTCAAAAACCCAGAAGCATGCGTCGACCAGTCCCCTGTTATGGTCGACTCATACAGGCAAAAATGCAAATTTTCATGTTTATGCATAGATGAGCATACATTTGATGCATAAATAGAATGCCACACCATAAAAAGCATCCAAACATATATAATACATGCGAAATGTCATATATACACAGTATTTGTCAGACAATACTACTTTTGAGAATGAAATTTATAGAGAGAGAGAGAGAGAGAGAGAGACGATATCACCTCTATAC